TGGGGGGGGGGGGGGGCTTTCTCTAACTTTTCCATTTCCATCCAACGGATGGAATTAATTGCCAGAGTCCAACCTTACGGTTAGCTGAAGAACTGTTGCTCTTCGAAAAAAATATATTGAGAGACGGGTGAGCTGCAGTGCCACCAACTGGAAAAAAGTGCATCTTTATTGCCCACAAAAAACCGCGCTCTTTCTCGATTTATTTCTTCATGTTTCAAATTGTCACCTTAAAATATTTCTAACTCTATGTTCCAAATACATTGTATATTCCTTTACTATTTCCACTTACCTTATGAAATTGAGACCATCGAATTTCGCATTTTTTACAGCCATTTTTTCACAGACACATGGAGTGTGGATCATCCCCCCCCCCCCCCCCCCCCCAACTAACTAATAAAATATGTATCTTTATTTTTTCGAAAATATGTGATTTCTCCGTCAATTCTATCTGTATGTCATTCTTGCAATTGGTTTGTACTTTTGTAAAGGTTTAAAATTGGCAATACACGGTATAATTTTTATTATACCGTGTATGGCCAATTTATACCTTAACAATAGTACAAACCAATTGCACAGAATGACATACAGAAAGAAATTAGTACACGAATATTAGATTTTATAGCAACAAAAATTGAAAAGTAGGTTACAGTGACCTAATTTTCAGTGGACTTACTCTAGGACCAAAGATGCAACAACTGACAAAGTTTGGTGATCGATTCTAAGCCAATTAGTACCTGAAAAAAATTTAATTAAAGCCATAAATTTTCAAAAGTAGGTCACGGTGAACTACTTTTCAGTGGACTTACTCCTAGGACCAAAGATTCATCAACTGACAAAGTTTGATGATTCTAAGCCAATTAGTACCCTAAAAAAAATTAATTAAAGCCATAAATTTTCAAAATAAGGTCAAGGTGACCTACTTTTCAGTGGACTTGCTCCTAGGACCAAAGATGCACCAACTGACAAAGTTTGATGATTCTAATCCAATTAATGCCTGAAATATTTAAATAAAGCCATAAAATTTCAAAAGTAGGTCACGACGACTTACTTTTCAGTTAACTTACTCCGAGGACCCAATATGCATCAACTGACAAAGTTTAATGATTCTAAGCCAAATAGTACCCAAAATATTTAAATATTGCCATATGATTTCAAAAGTAGGTCACAATGACTTAGTTTTCAGTTGACCTTTTTCGAGGACTCAAGATGCAGCAACTTGCAAAGTTTTATGATCATAGGCCTTAAAATGTCCAAAATATACCGGTACATGTACCTCTAAAACGCTTTGAACCCGAATGCCTGCAAATTCCAAAAAGTAGGTCACTGGACCTACTTTTTAATAAATATGTTTTATGCCCCAAGATGCATCATCTTACAAGATTTAATGATTCTAAACCTCTCAGTATTCGAATTAATGACCTTAAATGTTTTGAAAAAGATTAGCCATAAAATTAAAAAAGTAGGTCATGGTGACCTACTTTTTAGTTGACGTACTCCGGGGACCCAAGATGCATCAAATGACAAAGTTTGATGATCATAGGCCTTAAATTGTTCAAAATATGCCTCTTAATCATTTTGATTGATTGATTGTTTGTTGTTTAACGTCCCTCTCGAGAATTGTTCACTCATATGGAGACGCCACCACTTGCCGATGGAGGGCTACAAATTTTGTCCTATACTCGGTACTCATGGCCATTGAACAGTGAGGGATCTTTTTCGTGCCAGCACCTCTTGCGACACGGGACCTCGGTTTATACTGTCTCATCCGAAGGACTGGTCTCCACATGGGCTGACAAACAGATTTTTCAAGTACTTGCCCATGGGCGAGTAAAAGGTCAAAATTCACTTGCCCTACCTGAATTTTTACTTGCCCCACCATAAACTATGAAAATAGGAAGACAAAAAATGATTATTACAATCGCCCATTTCCACTTAAAACTAAGACTTACCATTTTTTTTCTTGAAAAAGTAACTTGCCCTTGGGCAAGTGGTTAATAAAAATTCACTTGCCCATCCCAAAAATTCACTAGTCCCGGGCGACGGGCAATGGGATTTGTCAGCCCCTGCTCCATGTCCCGCAGTGGGATTCAAACCCGCGACGTAAGGATCAACTCCTTACTCCGCGACTCTAGAGCAGACGCTCTTACCACTGCGCCACACGGGCTAATCATTTTTAATAAAAATGACTGCAAAATTAGTAGGTCACCGTGACCTACTTTTGAGATATGAGGTCCTTAGATGCATCAACTGCCAAGATTTGATGGTCCTAGTCCTTATAGTAAGCAAAATATCAACATTTTAATAAAATGTACTTTTTGGACAACTTTGAAGTGACCTTGAGACCACGCCCTTTGCCCCAGGGTGATGCCTTTAACAATTTGTAATCTTCAACATATCCTTTTGTGTAAGTTTGGTGATAACCTGCCCAGTGGTTCTTGAGAACATTTTTAGCAACCAATTCTTTTGGTTTTATTTACCTAATTATCTCCCCTTGTTTAAGGGTCACAACCCTAGTTTTAGTATACATGTAAATGGGAGCCCTTCTGTGACAAATTTGACAATAATTGGCCAAGAGGTTCTTGAGTTTATGGCCCATATTCTAAAAAGTTTAAGCACACCGCACAAATGGACAAAGCATTAGCTCCTTTTACCTTTGGCTCAGAAGAGCTAAAAAAACAAACCCATGGGCCACAACGCTCACCTGAGTAACTTTGGCCCTACTGTTTTTCACCAGATTTCCCCTTGTAATACGTATTGTGGCCCTACCTTACCCCCGTGTGCCATGATTTGAACAATTTAGAATCTACACTACCCCAGGAAGCTTCCACATATGTCACAGCTTTTCTGGCCAAGCTGTTCATGAGATCTTTTGCTATATATTTTAATGTAAAACTTTGATTCCCCATTGTGGCCCCACCCTAGCCCCGGGGGTCATGATTTAAACAATTTAGAATCTACATTACCCCAAGGAGCCTTCAAATAAGTTTCAGCTTTTCTGGCCCAGTGGTTCTTCTTCAGATTTTTTAATGACCCCACCCTATTTTTGTCATATCCTGATTATTTCCCCTTGTAAGGGGGCTTTGCCCTCTATTTTAATAATTTAAGCTCCCCTTTACCCAGGGATGGTTTTATATTAACTTTGGTTAAAATTAACCCAGTGGTTCTTGAGAGAAGTTGAAAATGTGAAAAGTTTTACAGCCGACGGACAACAGATCAGAAAAGGTCACTTGAGCATTCAGCTCAGGTGAGCCAAAAAATACACAAGGCCATCCATGTTAATTTCAAAATTCACCGACCTCAGACACAGGACAGCCGCACGAGATTGGTGTGCATACATGGCTCCTGGCATTTCACCTGGCGAAACTAACATCAAGAAACATTAAAATTTCTGAATTTTTTAAGATTCTTTAAATATTGGAAAAAAGTTGGCTATAATGATTAACGCTCCATGCGAGGCTCGAACCAAAAACCTACTCTACAACTAGATGCTCTGGACTGGTAATAAACTATCGAGCTATTATCACTACACAGTATGGATCTTAAAACGACATTGAAGCAACACATCTACACATTCCGATTTTTTCGGAAAAGGTTCATTATTATGGTCTCTGGGCCTTCTCTCCTTTTCTTAAGAATGTTTCATTCGTTTCTTCGAATTATTACGTCCAAATTATGTTTTAAAGACATGGAGATTAAGGGGTTTTTTTTTCCAGGAATGAAACACTTTGTTCCAAATGCCCATTTAGCCATTCTTCAAGCTATCTTACGGCAAATTTAATTACAATATCAGGAAAATATATCTCTTTCCTATTAATTTCACACAAACCAAACACATCAAAAGTGCCAAAATTTCATGTGACAGATCAATGAAGTTTGCACTTTTCTAGTGCGCCCAGATTCCTGCCAAATGCCGATCAAATGCGTGTCCTCGTTCTTTACAGCTACTTTGCAACCGTCCATTTAACTTTGGCACTAATAAGTATTTGAGAATGGTTCTGCTATTGTCACATCCGGAAATTAAAATGTACACCAAGGCTGCATCCGAAGCAACTCTGGTTGTGTATATCCCTTATTTTAATTCTACTTCATCAGTGATCAGCGTGGTCATCATGAAACCACAAGAGATAACGCTAGCGTATCAAGACCTCATCATAGTGCTTTCAGCTTTGCTTCAGTGTGGATTTGTTTTTATCATCGTTTTTATCAACCATGCAACTTTGGTCCGGGAAATGTTACTTGGAACATTGTTCCATCTAAAACTTGGTCACTTATCCAGGAAATAAAGGTCAGATGCAGCATGCCAAGTCTGGCATAGTACACATACTGAACAATCTTAAGCGTTACATCTACTCCACCAAGTACCATATCCATCAACATGTGGTAATGCAGGGTTTCATGGCGGGTTGAGAACATTTTTTTTTGACAATTTCATCCACACAGCAGTGGTGAAATAGACGAAGTATTTCAAAAGTACATTTGAAAGAGGTAAAGTTCATATCAATGAACCCCATATGCAGTTACAAAGAGTATTTCACAATTCTTTGCCCTTCGCAAAAATTTGCTCTGTGCAACTACACTTTCAAAACAAAACCTAACAAGAACTTAATTTTTTATTTTAAAAGAACATTGTATAAGAGATATCAGTCAAAAATTGCACATCTAATTGGTCTCATGAAAAAATAACAATGAATTAATGCCAATGATAAGAAATTCCTTCCCTCTTTCTGTGTGATCTATTTAACTCACCCACCCCCCCTTTTCACAAAAACAAATTTTGGTAATTTTTGAAACAAAAAGATTATAACTACAAATTATACGGCCAAAATCAATGCTAAATAAGTGTCATCTTTTTCTACGAATGCTAACATGCCAGTGTCCATGTGGACAATTTAAGCACCACATACAGTGAACATCATAACATGTATGATACACTGGTTAAATCTATTCTGCATAAGCAAAAAATACTACACTACATGGTTTCTACTACTACATAGGTAAACTAAAATGTATGAACACATAATGGCACATGTAAAATATCTGAGGTATGTTTTGATTTCAAAAATATAAATTTTTTATCTAGTTTTCCTCTGTTTGAAGGGGATTCCTTTTTTCAACCCTTTGGCTCCAAGTCTTCCTTCTTCCAATGGAATTCCACTTCCTTTTCCTCATTCTACAACTCCATCTATTCTACTTTTCACAGCACTGGCATCTCACCATAATAGTTAACAGCAGTTCTAATCATTCCATCCTTGATCCATGATCCTCTATTTGATAGCATTTGATCACATCCTGAACGGACAAGCTTACAGGAAGTAGAGACGATCAGATAAGGACATGTGAGGGTCCTTATGAATGGACTGTCCCACTAAGAATGCCAGCTTGTGGGCATACTGACATGGCGCTGGTACACGGATGGTACCCTATCACAAAAATGATCATCATACAGTAATTATGAATTTTAAATTCATTGAACAATTGATCATAAATGTGAATGAAAACATACCATTTTAACTGTTTTTGCAAGTATAAAAATTATCAAACAATGGTTGAATAGAGAGTCTAAAAGAACATTCCATGGGACTTACTGGCCAATTATAGTAAAGGTGTGTCATTTTGTATGCCAGTCTCTGCATATGATCGGGCTTAAGGCCTGTGGAGTCCCAGATCACATTGTAGTGGGTGGGGGTCACTGTACCCTGTCTGACTGACTGAGACACGAGGAAGAAGTCATACCTACAACATAGAGAAAAACCATTATTATCTCCATCTTAAGCAAGCTACACAACTCTTTCAAAACATTTCCAGGTATTACAATTAATCATGTTTTCTTTCCATTCATCTAGTCCTGCTTTGGAAATCAGTGGAAATTTCATTCCTCAACATTCATAACACAAAGTGACCAAAGTGCCAAATGCAAAACAAGAGACCCATGGGTTGCATTGCTCACCTGAGCACTTTGGCTAGAGAAAAGCAGGTAACAGTTCATTACATGTATTGAGAAGTTGCAGTGAGGGAAAAGTTTCAACAAGTGTCATGATTTGAACAAATTTAAATCCACACTAACAGAGGATGCTTCCATATTTCTTTGACAATCATGGTTTAAAAAGTTTTTTAGAAAGATTTCCCCCCCTATATATTTCTATGTAAAAGTTTGATCTTCTATTGTGGCCCCATCCTACCCCTTAGGGTCATGTTTTGAACAAATTTATATCTACACTTACCGAGGATGCTTCTGTACTAATTTGACTAGTAATAGCTCAGCTGTTCTTGAGAAGAAGATATTTTAAAGATATTTCTTATATATTCCAATGTAAAACTTTTCTTCCTCTGTTATGGCCCTACCCTTCTCCTGGGGGTTCATGATTTGAACAAATTTGAATTGTAACTATGTAAATAAGCTTTCACACAAGTTTCATTTTTTCTGGCCCAGTGGTTTTTGAGATTTTTAAAAGATGCCATTAACTTTTCAATGATTCAGTATCATCTCCCCTAGAAAGAGGGTGTGGCCTTTGGACAAACTTGAATCCCCTTCACATAAGGATGCTTTGAGGAATGCTTGGTTGAGTTTGGCCCTGTGGTTCTTAGGAAGTTGAAAATGTGAAAAATATACCGACGACATGAGACATGGATGCCGGATACTCTTCAATCAGAAAAGCTACTTTAGCCTTCGTCTCAGGTGAGCTAATCAAAGGTTGTTTTTGGAATGATTTTCCTCTTTCTTGTACTATCTACATGTATGTGGTAAGCTCTCCAATTCAAAGCTGAGAACTTCATTAAATCCCCATTTTAATTTTTCTTTGCCTTTTCTACTCTTTTCATGCCACATTCCATTATATTACTCGTATATTTTTAACATTTTAAAACCACAGGCTCATCATATTAATCTAGTACTGTGCTTTAAATGTTATAAGTAGTAATATTTTCAATGATCCTATGGTTTATTAATACTCACCAGATTGGCTTGGTGACCTGGGTGTCTACAATGGTCCCTGGTGGAGGATTCGTCAGAGATGGACCAGACTTTGCAAAGAACCTTGTGTTGATTCTCTTCTTTACAACTACAACTGCTACCTTTGGACTAAGAAATCAAGATGTATACTATATGATTATCACAAATTCTGATGCTAATAAGTCATCAACTTTTCTATCTTATGCCCCCCCCCCCCCCTTTATTGATAACTAAACTTTCCTTTCATCTGCAGAAGTAAAGATGGCAGAAGTGTGAAACAGCATTTTACTCTTATTATAGCAAACATACTTATAACGAATTCATGCTAAGAGCAAAGTGATTTTCTTTCCCTGCGGTTTTAAAACATATCATGAAGCTCAGGGATATAATGAATATTTATAACAAAACAAAATTGATGGTTCCTGGCACTTTGCTATATGTGTGTTTCACTGTAGAGATGAATATGAGGCAGAAAAAGATGCTATAGCAGTTCACCAAGTTCTTACTTATAATCTTGTCCACCACTTCTCTTAAAGCACTCGTTCAACTGTGGTACCTCATGTTCATACACTGCCCTCAGCTGTCCATCACCCACACCGTCACGGAACACAATGATCCTCTCAGGTAGGGCACCATTAACTTCGTGGTACTTCTCCAAGGCACCTAAAATTTTACACTAATCATTAAAAGCATGCAAATAAATACACATGTATTCCTTAAATTTACAATGTTGTTCTTTCACGTAATTGGCTTAATTGGACTCTTGGAGAAACGTTTGTAGAGATAACACTATTATCCTCTGAATGAGGGAACCAAACCCTCTGTGATAGAATGTAGCAAAAGTCAACCTTGCTTGATGATGGGCAATTTCAGAAAATGTTGATTGTGAACAATTATTGTTGGTTTAATGTTATATGTATCTGTTTAAAACATTCAGTGTAATATAATTAACATCACATGTAGTTCAGGATAACATTGAAAATTTTCACCCCCCAAGAAAACCCCCGTCAAATGAGGCACAGACTAGGGGGTGAAAATTTTCAATGTTACTCTCAACTAAATATAATATTTATATAATACTGTGGAATCAAAATTGTTCACGGGGGACCAATGTTCGTGGATTTCGCTGGTCACCCGTGCAAACGAATTGAAATCCCCACGAACGTTTACTCTGTAAACATATTGATTCACTGAATCTACTGTTTAAACGAGTAACTTACGAAATTACGTCTCCACGAAAAAGTAAAATTTTGCTTGCCCACGAACATTGACCCCCAAGAATTAAAATGATTCCACAGTACACTTCTCTTCATACTTAAACTTAACATGAAAATCCTCATTACTCAAAATGAAGAAAACGAATCTTTAATGAAAAAAAAAAACTTCTCATATAATTATTATGGCATGAATGGAACTTTCTAAAGAATCTTCCTTACCAAACTTGCTTGATGTTTACACAGCAGTCAAAGACCTGCTAAGACTTGCCAAGCTACATACGGTAACTTAATCATAACTAACCTCTCAGTGACGTTACTAATCCGTTAACAAGTTCCTCGCCAGTGTGTTGGAATGTTGTACGTGAATAGTATCGAGTAAGAGTTTTGTTTAAGGAGCATATCACGCCCCCAACAGAACGCCCTTTCTTAGCTGAATCGTGGTAAGTATCGACACCTACCACCATCAGATTTTTCAGCTGGAACAAAGGAGAACTTTGGTTAGTAAACAAACAATGGTCTACCTGGACCAAAAAAATAACAATTCAGTTGTCTTCCTGGACAACAACATGAAAATCATAATATATGTTCATCAAAAAAAAATATTTCGCCAACAAAGCATGTTTTCTTTATCTACTCTTTTGGTAGGATAAATTTATTTATTGCCTTTCTTCACCATGAAATAAACTTTTTCATTTACACATACAAAATCCTCCAAAAGGTACATAAAGATGTAGCTATCCATGCGTTCTTAGTCAAACTAACATCTAACAAAATCTTAACTGAATAATGTTACACAACAAATAAGGATTTTGCAATCTTTTTTCTGTTGAAAATAAAAATACAATGGCCACCTTGCCGATCTCTTGCAACAATACACAGTACAATTCTTTTAACAATTCAAGAATATAAATTTGAACATTTTAATGAATTTACATTGTTCCATGTAATGTTAATACATATCATTTGTAACTAGTACATTTCAATGAATATACATAGTTCCAAGTTATGTTTCATACATTTGATTTGTAACTGGTATTATTGCAATCCAGATCTATCAGAGAGACTCCAAATCTCTCAAAGAAAAAAAAACTAAACAAAAGAATAAACACCTACAACCAGGTGTATTGACATGGAAACAAAAGATAAACTAATACAGAACAGAACCTATACCATATAAGTACAAAGTCTGACAAAGTCCACAGACAGATTTACCAGTTTACACACAAACTTTCTGTTAGAAGCAACAACTACAGGATTAGTATAGTTAGTGGATTCACATTTTATAACAATCCTCCAGCTCTACAAGAACAACCTTGACAGCAGCCATTTCAGAAGTTTTCTAGAGAAATTTACTTACCTTCAACTTCTCCAACAGTTACTTATTTGAAAACAACCCACATAAGCAAATTCTCAGAAGTGATTTGTACTGATCATCAGTTATGAGTAAGTTCAAACCTTTCATGCAAACTTTCAACCCATCCATTAGTTCTTGCATGGAGTGTTGGAAGGTACACCGGGAGTAATATCGAGTTAGTGCTTGATTCATGGAAGCAATCACTCCCCCAACGGAGCGGCCCTTCTTACTAGAATCATGGTAAGAATCTATCCCAACCACCATAAGGTTCTTGAGCTACAGTGACAAGCAGAAGTGTAATACAAGTTCTTCAACAAAGAAAGCTAACACATCAAACAGAAAGCACAATTATGTATATGTACAATGACAATATGAAGTGCATACAGAATTTTATGAAGTGCATATAGAATTACACCAACTACAAATTACTATACACAGAAAAACACACTGTTAAATACTATAAAATTCACCCCTCTATATATAAGCTGATGATTCACTTCTACTTACTGGAATTTCCAGGCACCATACTTCTCCTCCTAGCTTACAATTCAGTTGAATGGCAATTTTGGTTGCCACAGACATCAACATCTGCTTTTTAGAGAGTGTTCTCTGTACAACACATTGACTTGGTACTGCAAAAAGTTTGTACTTGCATTCAACATCATTATATGTCATTGAGATTGGTCTTACAATTTGATTTACTTAACATTTAAAGTAATTTTCATGTGAAATATGGTGTATGTACATGTACCTCATATACATTGCACCCACTATGAAAAACTCAAAGCAACAAAGCAGGGCCAAGATGAATTCAAATACACACATATTCATGCATCAATGCACAAATAAACATTTTTTTTTTTTAATTTACATGACAGAGCATTTGTTCATCACAACATACCTGGATGGTCAACACAGCAAAATTTCTTAATGGCATCATATCGATCCTTACGATTTGTTGGCAAGATGGTCAATGCCAGCTGTGTTTGAGGGGTGACATACTGCTTCAGGGCTGTTAGATAGCTGTCATTCCTATCATCTGGCAACTCGCAACTGAAAAGACAATTGTTACCAATACCTCTCAATCAAGAAACACAATCTTTTTAAGATTTTTAAAACTGTTAAAATTTTAAAATTGAATACTACAGTGTATTTTGGTACAAAAAGCAATTCCTTAAACTTGTTTCCAAATTAAAGCTTACATTGTGGGGGAGTTGATCTGCATTCCCATGGGAGGCCCAACCCTACTGAGGGTTTGGACCAGATCCTGGGCTTGGGGGCTGTTCCTCCTGGTGAACACAATGACCCAGTTATCTAGATTCACTGGGGTGATTAACTTCTTCCCTCTCATGTCTCTACTCCAGTCAGCATCTTCCTGTCTGTAACTCAACTACAACAAAGTACCAATTACATTTACTATTCAACACTACATACAGGTTTTCTTGTGAACATATAAGATCAAAACCGGAGAATCTTACCTCTGCCCCGCCTTTCTGATAGATTTTTTCCTGGGGAGCTATGTGAGCATTCACGTTCAGCAGATTCTGAGAGAACCTTAGTCCCCATCCTCCCATTTCTGCTCGCACTTTCTCATTCCTGTGACAGTGCAAGTAACACATCAGTGTGCAAGGTAATAAACATGTATTAACCAAAAATACTGTTCTATCTACTGTCCACTTTTAAAGACATGCTTAACAACCAGATTTTTGCCAGAATATAAATCCAAAACCCTTTGCCAAACTTTAACAGTTAACAAGGTAAATTATTGACTTGGGTTACGTTTTAAGATGTGTTAAACATATATCAGTGGTTATTATGGCATTACTTGTTGATTTGGTCAATAAAGCCTTGTAATGTTTTATTTCTTCCCTCTGGGGCCACTCTAGTGTGAGCACCAACATCTTTCATGACATTAAAGTCTGCCCTTGCCTCATCAGTCAGTCCTGAAATGACATCCCAATAACTTCAGTCACTCCTCAGAATACTGTTGAATTGTGCAACTTGTACCCAATTCATAAATACCTTACTGTGAATGTTGACTTACCTGTGACAGTACAGAGTTCTGGTAGAAGGAAGATGGGCTCTGTACGTCCCATTCTGATGTCCTTCTTCTTTGGTCTTGATACTACTAAAGGCTGGTTCATGTCTCGAACATCTATGTTGTAGTTCTACAACATATATAAAAAATTAATTTATGTAGTAGTTCTACAATATATAAAGAAATCTAACAACTTAAATCTTGAAAATTAAATAGACATCACATGAACTTCTTCCATGTTACTTGAAAACAATGTCATTGCTTAATGCTTAAAAACTGTCAGTTCTATTCATTAGATACATCTTTCCTGTCACTAATTTCTCTTATTTTAAAAATGTATCTGCAGGCACTGCAAACAGAAACTTACCTTTTTGTAATATTCAGCTAAGGTAATGGAGACATCATTCCTCAACTTGAAGGTGAAGTCTGGTCTCTTGTCCCAGTCGAAGTCATCCACACGGTAGGTCTTATTGTTGTACCTGTAAATCACATAATAATTCTGATGACAGAATTTTAAATACAGAGAGAATTCCCCTTTCGTGAGTATTTGAGGTCGATTTGTCCCTCCCCAACAATAATAATGAACGTTTTTTGTTCAAATGTGATGGTACCACAATAAATTAGATTCATGATTTCAGTTGATAAATTATATAAAATATACTTGGGTGAGTGAGCTACAGTATATTTGTTACAAATTTATTCAACAGATTGAGTTCCTGGAACGCAACACATGGGTTAATGTTATTTTGATATGAAACATTTTCTTTAAATTCTATGCTATATTTTCTATGCTTAATTATCAGGCACACAGTATGCTGACTATCCCTTCACCAATCACTGCGAATAATGTACTGTGCAAAAAATTTAGATATTGATGAAACTAATCTGCAAGTACCTTGTGAGGACAATAGAGCCAACAAACTTCCGCACACAATCATCATAGAAACTTTCCCCTTTGCTTTGACTGTACATGTCGTACATCAAATCTAGTAGCGTATCAGACCTGATGATTTTGTGACTGATGTCGGCACACAACAAGGTATCAGTCTCGTACTTAGCAATGGCTGTTACAAACCCTGGCATGACGGTCAGTCTGAAAATAAAAACATTTCATAAACAACTGTTATGTTCAATAATGCAATAATGACACTTGGTAAATATCACCAAGTTCAGCTAACCATATACAAGGACCAACCTAGGGGACGACTGGGGCGAAATAGTTGCTTTTGAGCTCCAAACTTCGCCGTAAATTATCACGAAAGAGAAGTCGCCTTAACATTTTCAACCCCTTTATTGAAAATCATAAGAAACGTGGTGGTATCGTCATTTATTTATAAATCTGGTTTCATTACTGCTGAAATAAGTGAAACAGCAGGGCACTTGCACCTGTTTTGCTACTTATGACCAATGCATCGAATACTCTGTCGGAACTCCTCTAGATTTTACGCTTCCATGTATGAAAAAGTCCATTGTTACAAGTTATACACAACAAGACACAAAACAGCTGGACAGCTATCAATGTCAAAGATGTTGGAGATGATTTTCGATATTTTTATCGTCAAATAATTAATACATGCTGTGAATACAGACATATTTTTACTGTTAATTGTGGAGTTATTAACTGTCTAAGAAATTACACGTCTGATACACATAACTAGTTCAATCGGCATGCAGTAGTGCATCAAAACTTTTTTTTAGAAAAAGAATTTAATATTGAAAACAAATTTTAAAGAGAAAATAACAAAATTATGACTATGCCAAGAGCCTGAAAATCTAACCCCGAGAGGAGGGAAAAACGTGTGAATCATTTAAAAGTTAATTGTGCATACTATGCAAGAAATCAAAAAAAAGTTTGATAAACAAGTTTATCAATTAGAAACTTTTACATTGTAATTGTTTTATATATTTTGCTAGATATTTATATTCCTTGTAATTGGAAAAATATAAAGTTCATTTTTTTAAAAAATCTTTTTTTTCCTTTTTAAATTTATACTAGGATGTTTAAATAATGCACAAAAAATTATTGTAATGTATTTAAGTGATAAACAATGAAATGTTTTTATTTTTTAAAAAGTTTAATAATGATCTATGTGCACCACATGCGCCAAGAAGTCTCCCTAGAATTCAAAACTTCTCCCTGCATTTCTCTGAGGGAGAAGTGAAGTCTCCCTAAATTTTGGGTCCAGGTTGGTCCCTGCATATATATATACAAGTAGTTATAATGTGTCTGTGAATCAAGGCATCTTACTTTTAATGCAAGCATCAATACTGAATAATTAAACCAAGGATGATACTTTAAAGGTTCTTGTTCTTACTTGTGTTGTGGAATGTCCACCGACAAAGAGGGATTGAAGTAATTACGTCCAATCTGCTTCATTTCAATCATGGCTAGAACCCTAGGCAAAAATGAAACAAAATTTTATATTCAGAAGGAAAAGTTTATACACACTGAAAGTGTCTTAAAATTAGCAATTTTGTTACATTAATACATATTTCAAGCTAAATCTACGCTCAAAATAGTTTCTACCTTTCAATTATGTAACAGATATCTGTTCCTATACAGCAGTGAAATACAAACTTTTTTGGTTAAATGTGTACATCTCATATACCCACCTTCTGAAGATAATGTTGTAGACCTGCATGACTTGGGGTGAGGAGGGGGGCAGCTCATTGGTCAGTGTGATTGTAATTCTTATTTGGGCATCATCAGTCCTCCTCTGACTATACACCTCTGTCACCTAAAGAATTCATAGACAAAACTCTGACTAAATTACAGAACATTCTTAATAATAACCAATCAGACACAAAGATAGCGTATATAGAGGATATTCAATGTTTTGTAGATGAATATGGAATTTATTTCGCGAGCGGGACAGGATTTTTTGATATTTTCACAAGTGCGAAGCAGGAGTGAAAATATCAAAAAATCCTGTCTCACGAGTGAAATAAATTCCATATTCATCTACAAAACATTGAATTTTCTGTTTATTACATTTTCTTTGATTTTCCCTTTGCCTCTGTCTTTTCTTAACACAGTGTCATAGGCTTGACGTCATAGTGGAACGGTTGAGACGTCATAGCTTAGCAGTTGTGTGATTGAAAACGTTACATAGCATGGATTTTAGCAATACATTTGGGAAGGAATTTGCAGTTTTCGCTCTATCAAGATGCTTAGTTACTATCTCTATCTTATGACAGGCCAGAAATTATTTTTTACTTACTTTGATATCCTTTCACAATGTGAGAGAATATCATTTTGGTATCCTTTCACACTGTGAGAGAATATCACTTTTATTCAGTAAATAAATCACAGTATTTCACTGTTGAAAATGTAATAAAAAGATATCTTTGTTACAAATTATGTCTTTTATTGGATTTCAAACCTGTTCCTGAAGACGGTGTGGTAGGTATAGGATCATCCCATCAAATGCTTTGGTTTTTC